GCCAAGGTTGAGAAATACTGACCTAATGTTATATAAGATTCAAAGAGGCATAATTTCCTAATAAAAGGTGCATCACTTTGTGATGAATTTAATAACATCACTCATTTACATATGTCTTTAGATCAAAATAAAACTGCCCAAAATGTTCCCCTCCGAATTATGTAATATGTAATTAATTTTTTCTTGCTCCTTTCCCATTTATGCTGACATATTTAAAAGCTCCACTAAAAATATTTTCATGCGTTCACAAGCATTTCAACTACTATGTGCACTGTTCCAAATATATACATCTCTTATGATTTATGAAAGGTATGTTGTATTAAAATAACCACTAGGCAGCAATATGAAAACCTGATACAAAGCACAATTAAATTTGTATCACTGTTTCATTTTATATATCTCTAAAGCTGGACTGGGCAACCTGCATACAGTCCCCAGTGCCTTCTCCCAGTATCCAGAATTAAGCTGCTAAATTTCAGTAACAAAACATCATGAAAAAGAGGTATGACTTTCCACAAAAGGAAAGCTTTCGAGGTCTACTGTTAAAATTAGGTTAACACACCAAAACATAAAACAAAAAATAAAAACCCAATAACTCTATTATCTCACAAAAATGCACCACACAAATACTAGCCCCACCCATTTGATGTTATCACTGCATTTACAGTGGTCCTTTACCTACCCAAATTATTAATTAAAAACCATATCTTTCATTAGCCAAAAAGTTCCATGTCCCTGCTCTAAACATACCTGACTTTCAGCCTGGTCCAACATCTTCTGCACAGCCTCCTATAAATGGTGCAAATACAGAACTAGTAAAAACTTTGAATGCTGACATCTGATTTGTTTAGTTAAGATCAAAATGTTCAGTTTTAAGTATTGCTTTGTTTAGTTCAACTGAGAGAAGGCTTATATATTATTCTACAGTAGTATATTCATGCACACACACACACTCACACAATATACAAAGCATTTAAGTTATATTTTAAATAATTTCCTCCACATCAACTCCCTACCACTCCCCAATAATAGTATTCCCCTTGTCAACAATTAAAACAGACCAAAAAAAAAAGTCATAAATGAATATAGAAGATATTCCGACTGTTTAGTTTTGCAAGATGGTGTAAACACGGCAGTGTAATTCTGCAAGTGAGTTAAACACATTATAAATTCTTTGTAATGGGCATAGATCTTTTGAATTTATTTATTTATAAATCAAATTTATATGCCACCCATCTCATTATGTAAGTGATTCTAAGTGGTTCACAAATAAGAAGCATAAAAACAGTTTAAAAACAACAAAACAAAGTTAAAAGATAGAAAGAGCATCTTCAAGTACCAGCCACCCCCAGTGCAGGGAGCCCCCACTGGATCCCCAAGCTAGTTGGCAGAGCCAGGTCTTAATGCTCTTCTGGAAGGCCAGAATGGGGGGGCGCTAACCTCACTTCGGGGGGTAAGATATTCCACAGGGTGGGGGTGACAGCAGAAAAGGCTCTCCTAGACCCTGCCAGTCGAAATTCTCTAACCAATGGGATCTGCAACATGCCCTTTCTGCTGGACCAGGTGGGACGGGTAACCCAATGTAATTTCGATGAGACAGGTTCCCCTTCTAACGTATATCATGGGGGACAAGTATCTTATAATTGTACCAGAAATTCTGCAATCAATTGTGTACTAGAAACACTGATTTAAGCATAACTTTCTCAATGGTATCTATAAGGTCAAATATGCTCAACTGCACTGATGCTGGCACTTCTAACTGAGCAAATAATAATGTCTTTAATGTCTGTATAGCAAAGCTCAGAATTCCAGAATAAAGTTGGGTACCAGTATACCAAAAATGGTTCAGCGTGTAAAAAAAAAAACCCTTTAAGGGTAATTAAGAATTAGTCAACAGCTTCTGATTTTCCACTGTATAACCGATGATACATCGGTTGCATGTGAGTTGCAACCGATGATACTCAAATGGTTATTCAAATTACACATGGTTCCTCAGTGATGATATTCATACTGAGTCCATTTCTTGTGCACATTAATATCTGGTTTATTTATTCCAGCTTGGTTTTTATATAATGTCAGTAGGTCTAACCTTTTAGGGCTTGTGCGCATTTTTGGAATATGTTGTGGGTGTTCATGCAAAATGACCACCTGGAAATGTTGCTAATTCACAAAATAGCTGTCATGGGGGACATAAGCTATTACAAAGGAAACTATCTACCACACCCTCCAGCACTTCTTACCTTTTGCGGTCACACTTTGAAACAGCACTAGGTGCAGCCACCCATCGCTTTTATTTTCTAAGAAAGCTTAGGGGACTTATTTGGGATCCAGGGCTTTTCTTGGAATTAAAATGATGCTGGAGGCTGATGTGTTGCTTTGTAGCATCACACTTCTCTCTCTTTTTAAAAAATTAAAATGCCTTTTCAAATGTAAAAACTAGGTGAAACAAAGACCCTGAGAGGCATCAAAGGAGATTTCCATGATGTATCCAGGTATCACACTGAGTCTTCTGATCTAGAACTTTTTCTTTCTGTCTTAACCTCCTTTGAAGCTCTCAGCTTCCGTTTTAGTTCCCAACCACAGTAACTAAAACCATAATTAGAAAGCATTTAGTCTACAATGTTTTTTATGTAATCTGCTTATAATCGATGCATACATACTACCTTTTTGACTTAGGAAACAGTGAATAAAATATCACCAGTATTTTTAAAAAATACATAAAACTTTCCTAGGCCACCCCATTTCACTAGTTTAAATTAATGCTTTCTAGTCTTTGTCAAAGTTTCTTGAATTATTTCTCTGACCCAAGCTCCTCTCTTTGTGTTTCAAACATCAATATAAAATGACAAATATCATCTTTTTGCCAAGGAAATGAGCAACTGACATATTAATTTTTACTTTCAAAGATCCTATAAAGTGTATTCTTTTACTGCAAGTAGAACAGTATGAGATTAGCCAAGTTAAGAGATTTGCTTGGGAGAATGGAGGGTTAAGACGCAGTCATAAAATTCAGAGGCAAACAAGATCATAATAATTTCCCTAGAAGCTGAACAAGATAATCAAATAATTAACCTATAAAAACTAAAGTCGTGTAATATGTTTTTCCCCCACTTAACAAGCTATAGAAAAAGATACGTCTTGATGAATAAATCAGGTAAAGATGACTGCAACATCTTTAAGTGAAAAAAATAGTTAAGGAATCGCAGCAGTATAATTCCATGTTAAGAACTTGAAACAAGACTGAACTTTATTTGCTACACCTTTAAATAAAGTTTACATAAGTCACATATAAGAATAATTTTATTGCATCTACATCCTCATAGCAAGAGGCCTATCTGCTTATTCTAGACCTATTGAACCAAAACCCATGGATTTTTTTCATCTGCCACTACAGGAATAGAGATGGTAGCTTGGTCACAACCACTGACCAAGAGTATGAGCTACTGCAAATTTGTGATTCTTCATTCTTTCTGTCTCGGAAAATTTATAATTGCCAGCTGTAGCAAGATGAGGCAAATATATAAAAAGGATACTAAATATCTGAGAAGTCTTAAGGGAAAAGTTGGGTCATTATTCTATTTTCTTTCCAATTTTACACAAAGAAAGATACGTAAGAACTGTAAAAACTGCTCAAAGATAGGCAGGACAATTAATTAAGCAATATAAGTAGCTATTTCCTGCCTTTCATTTTTAAGGCTGAAACAATATTTATAGTGCAAGCCAGTCCCTTTACACTTAGAAGTATTAGTTTAATAGCTTACATAATATGATTTAATTTAGAATTAGTAAGCCAGAGTCACTGAAAATACGCATGTGCATAAAACTGAAAACATGCTTTGTTTTGAACCCAAAAGAAACACACTGCATTCAGAAAGCTCTGCCAAACCATTCTGTAGAGCTGCAGTTTGGCTGAAACAAAGCTTAGAAGATTTTTGTTGGCCAAAACTACCCAAAACAAAACCCCAGGGAACCTGGAGAGATTTTATGGAATCGGCAGTGCACACTGCCCCCTTTTTCCCCCCAATGACCTATCCAACCACCAACATTACCTGTACTTTCCTGCTTCTACTTTTCAACAGCTGTCACTGCTGTGCCACAGAGCACATTCCACTGGCCCACCTGCCTCCCAATCGCCCTTTCCTGCTCTTCCCTCTCTCCTCTGGCTGCCACTACTGGCATCCTTGGCTTTTTCCCGCCCTTATCTCCCTTCAAAACACTACCACCCAGGAATTCCAACTCAAATCTCTGCTTAAAAATCTGGTACCTCACTGAAGTCACTTAGGACTCTGTTATTACATGAGTACTATGAGAGGATATGCATTGGATTTATCCTCCTAGAGCAGGAATCACCTCTCTTTCTCTCTTCATTTGTTGTTTTCGCTCTTCCTCCTCTTGTTCTTTCTTTTGCTGTTTTTGCCATTCTTCTTTTATTTTTTGCTAAAAAAAAAAAAGAACATAAACTATTTATTCATCTAGAAAATTCATTTCAAATTAATGTTTACAGATATTGTTGCATTGTATTAAATTTATTAAAGGTGATGATTGATTACTTATTTAATTAGGTGTCTGGTTTTTAATTGGTGAATCAATTCAAATTTATTTGCCTTTTTTCCACAAATTTCAATGTGAGTAAATTTTGTGAGTTGATTTCCTCACACAGCTAGAGAAAAACAACACAATAGCAAATCTGACAGTTGCAAAAATGAAGGCCCAATGGAGATAAGACAGTCCACCCAAATATGGGAGCGGAGCAATATATTATATGCAGCAGAAAGGATAACAAAATGAAGAGAATTTGAACCCTGTTTCAAGGGCTTAATCTTCAGCTATAGGAGTAGCTGATATTCTTTGATTCCAGATTCCTACTTTCTTCAGTAAATCTTAATTATCTGAAGTTCTTGGATTTCTTGTGAGCTGGCCTAAGTAGTTCACAGAAGTTGCTTAAATCAGGGTTCTTCCACCTTAGTGACTTGAAGATGTATGGACTTCAACTCCCAGAATTCCCCAGCCAGCATTCTGGGAGTTGAAGTCCACACATCTTCAAGTCGCCAAGGTCGAGGAACCCTGTTTAAATTAACTGTCAGGCTTCACCCCACAGGCAAGGATGAGCCACATAGGCCAGCACACAAGAAATCCAAGAGCTATAAATAAGTAGGATTTATAAGGGGTAAAAAAAGAAAAGGGAAGCCCTAACCAAAGACTTTCAGCAACTACAATGATGCAAGAAGCAGCCCTATATAGGAAAAAATGTCAAACACTCTTACATTTTGTTTTCCTTCCCACCCAGAGTAACAGAGTACTTGACCCCTGGTTGGTCTCCATTTCTTCTTTATTTTTCTATCTGTCAGATTTGCTATCATGCTATTTTTCTTTGATTGCATGGGAATTCTTACAATTTTTACAATACCCAGCAATATATTTTGCTTCATTTATTTAAGAGAAGAAAAGAAGAAGAAATATTGAAGAGAAAGCAGTGCAACAACAATAACAGAATAATACATTCAAGGGCTTCTCAGAAATATAACTATAGTTTTACAAAACAGCTTCAATAAAGAGTGACCATATTTCATTGTAATCAACCATACCTAATTTATGTCTATAAGCAACGTAAGTCACAAGTAACATCAGAATTGCTCCCTCTGTTGATTCATTTAGCAGCTCTTCCTTATATAATGCTGCATTTTCAACATTAGTTCATGGCCAAATGGAGTGTTGCTCTCTTTTTTTTGAAGTAAAGGCATCAATGATGTTTTATAACACAAACGTTAGCTCTAGAAGTCCATTTCACTGCTTCAAAGGATATACTATACCTCTTCTTCTTCTTGACGTTTTCTGGCTGCCTCTTCCCTTTCCTTCCTGATCTTGAAAGCTTCTTGAGCCTTTTCTTCTCTTAGCAACCACTCTTCATGAAGCCTTTGCCTTCAAATATAAACAGATTAACAGTGAATCAACGAACTAAATATTTTATTTCATTTTTAACAATTATATTTGCTATTCCTTCTTTAAATTAACTGTGGAAAATTAACATGTCAAGAACAGTGAGTTTGCAGTCCTATACATCCTGATCTGGGGGTAAATTCCACTGAACCCATGAGGCATATCTCCGAGTAGATGTGAATAAGTCTAAGAAGATGTGTGTGTGTGTGAGTGATACATTTGATACATAAAAAATTATATATAAAGCTAGACTGTCAGAAGACAGGTTCAGCAGCTTATACAGTAACAATTATAGAGTAATGAATTAAATGATAGGAAAAATAAGAGAATATTCTACATGTATTAAATTGTTTACACTTTGCTATTTATGTACTTCAGTCTTCCAAGGTATATGCCTAGAATGAATGTTAATGGATTTAATACTAAGTAAACATGCAGAAATTTGAGCTGCCTGTTATAGGTTAAATTTGTTTATTCACCTTTCAGCTTCAAGTTGTTGCTCTTCTTCATTCAGATCTTCTTCATAAGTTGGTTCATCTTTATTTGTGTTTTCTAAAAAGGAAAGAAATTAGGTACATAATTTTGATTGCTCATCTTTGGTTAGGAGGCATATCATTGCACTCCATCTAAATAACCTAAACAGACATCTGCAAACACAATAGATTTGAAATAATCATGCATTATATTTTCAAACTAGGCCAAGACAATGAAAGCAGTCATTGTAGTATTAGTCCATTTCAGTTATAGGAAGTCAGTTCTGCTTGAATGTTACAACAACTTAAAATTTCTGATAGTACAACCAATTATCAAGAAAGGTGGTAGGCTCCCCTATGTCTAGCAGAAGGTGGAGATTTATTTGCTGGAGATGCTTTAAATTAATTTACAACAATGTGCTCTATGAGGGATTAAAATGCAACAGCCAGATGGCTAGTTGGGGAACCTAACTACGGTAAAGTCACATTCACCTTAAGATTGCTATACTGGTTTTCAATAAGCTTACGGACCCAATTCAAAGTGCTGGCTATGATCTATAAAGTCCTGTATGGCATACTACTGGATTACATCAGGTACTGCCTTGCCAGGCATGATTCTACCTGCCTGCTCCTCACTGCTATCTACAGTGGATCTACTAAGTAAGAGGTGTATCAACCAGGCCTTCTCTGTAATAGTTCCCTAACCGTGCAATATACTGACCCCAGAGGTACACATAGCTTCTATCCTTTTCTTATTTCAGAAGGCCCTGAAAATAGCCTCTTCAATGGGCCTTTGACCATAGTAAGTAGTTGTGGAGAACCATCTAGTAACAGTGTTGTTTTAATGTGGATTACGGGTTCTAGGGTCCTTTTGTTGTACACTGCCCAGAGTCTGTAGTATGGAAATACTGTTAGTATAAATAAATAGGTCTTAAGTAGGGGATTGGTCTGAATAGCCTAAATGACCTAATTCAATTCTATGTTTTTGTGGTCAGTGATGCAACCTAGACTTCCAAACTTCACTGGAGGGCCAAGGACTTACCTAAACAATATAGTCACTTCATCAAAATGAAAGCAATGTAGATTAATATTTAATTTTATAACAGTATCTAAAAGTGTTATCAAAGGGAAAGTTACTGTTTTAGGGCATAGCTTTCCAGACAAATACTCTAGAGATATTCCAAATAGTCCTTTCCCCCAAGAAACACTTGAGGTTTCCTCAAGTCTGCTGACATTTCCATTTTGTCCATGGACTATCTTGCACATAAGAACTCAAACTTTTAATAATTAACCTGTTTTACTGTTTAATCAGATGCATATGATTACTAAGAAACTACCTACATAATTTTTTGTAATCTCTAAGGTATCTGCAATCCATCCTTCCTTCCTTCCTTCCTTCCTTCCTTCCTTCCTTCCTTCCTTCCTTCCTTCCTTCCTTTTCTAAATGGTGGAAAATGACAACTCTCTGATCACTAGAACACAGCTCACAATCAGAAATAAAAATCTGTATTTATTTATTTATTAAATTTGCCACTGCCCATCTCAATGAAACGGTTGAAACAGTTTACAACAAAGATAAAATTCATTAAAATGCAATATAAATAATTATTCATATCAGAATACATTTTCTTTTACCTGAATCTCTCAGTCTTGCTAGAGCTTGTCTCCTTTTCTTCCGCTTCTCTTTCTTCAAAAGTGCTCTGTATCTTTTGTGACTGAAGATTAAATAATTTGTTTTATTTTCGATAACTGATAATTGCTAAAGCAGGTCAAATACTAAGATTCTCAGATCTTAAATATACAGATTTAAACAGATTAGGTTGTAATTCTACATCTATTACTAGGAATTAATTCTATTGAACTCTGTGGAATTTCTGTGGATTCTGATGAATATCATCTCAGAAATAAAACTTGACTATTGTGGAGTTTACTTCTGGCAAATGCATTCCATTTTCAATTACTAAAATTGTCAAATATTAAAACACCCAACAAAAATAAAAGAATGTAGACGTATGATTTCAATCTAGAACTAATCTATTGTGGAACTATACAGAATACAACAAGTTAAAGTAGTAAGGGACAAGAATATAAGGCCTCTTCAATCAAGCTTAACACCTGGTGATTTCATAAACACATTCCATGTACATTTTCTTGACAACATCATCAAGCTAGTTTTCCATTACCTTCTTCTGGGAATAAAAAAAAGATTTGGGACAAATGCCACTTCTGTAATTCCAAATCAAACATACATACATACTACCATCTTTCCCCCATAAATGCTTAACTAATGTTCTCTATTAAAACATACATTTGCAGTTACATACTAGAACTGGGACCTCCACTAGGGCCCAGAGGGACTATACAGAATCTACTGGTACTTAGATAAGATTCTCTGAACTTGGGTTTTTTTGGGTTTTTTTTTTCCTAGTTTACAAAGCTGGCTGCCAGCTCCGGCACAAATTCTTTTTTTCAGATTCTTCTGGGAACAGAAGAATATAGTCTGCATATACCTGTGCTGTTTTTTTACTCAGCTGCCAGCACTGAAGGCCTGTCCTGAATTCGGATATAAATTGGGAGCAGGGGAAAAATGGGTGTAATCCCTTCCTCTTAGCTGCTATTTCAAACTAGATCTGACAGTTCACTTAGAATTTATATTAGGAAAGGGGGGGGGGCTTGAAACTAATATCATCTACTTCTGCAATGCAAAATTTACACAAAAAGGGCCTACTTAGATAAGACCATCTGATCATAGGGTGAGGTAGGAACATAAGAAATTTAGTCCTGCCACTAGGATCCTCATTCAGATCAAACCCTTCCTATTCATCCCCAGTATAAACTTGCATTCCAACAAGAGTCCCTATTCAATGATTGAGCTCTCCATTTTCAAGTGAAAACCGCAGGTATAGATTGCCCAATCAAGAATAGGACTGCAGAAAAAGCATCATATAGCTCTATATTGATCAGGCCGAAAATGTTTATGAGTAATTAAATCTAGAAATGACATCTGAGAAGAGGAGAAAGGTAGTAGCTAGGTCCACACATGTACATTCAAACAAGTAAACCATATTATGGCTTAGCCTTATGGCCTAGGTCACACAACCCACTAGGTTAATGGATGTTTTGCCAGAATGCACTTAACCCAGAGGAGTCTCAGCCAGACACAATGATGGAAAAATGATGATGTGCACATGGTAATGTCACAACCCTTCCATAACTTGCATCCCAACATTTCACACAAGTATGCAAGTTGTGGTGGTTTTGTTGTGCATGTTTTTTTCATCCTCCTCCATGAGATAGCAATAAATTACTAAGCTCTATATTAGTCTAGCCAGTTGTGGAGACCCAGAGTATTTCAGAGAAGTACCTCTCCTCCAGCTTGGGTTTTAATTAAGTACTTAGACTAGTACTTTTTTTTTTAGCTTAATAAATTTGCATTTTGGGGGGGAAAAGGGGGACTTGTGGCAACTGTAAATGTCTGACTGGACAGTATCCTACTGTAGCCATTGTGGGAACTGAGATGCAGCATTCTACAAAAATAGTCACTATACTGTCCCAAATTTTTAAGTCTGCTGCTCCTTCATATTTCTGTAGAGAATCATATTAGTACTGAATAATACAAATGCAGAGAGCTTACTATTAATTTCTAATCTATTACTCTCTGTCTCTAAGTGATGTCATAACCTATTTATCACACATACACCTCCTTTTCCTTACATTATTAAGACATCAGCCCGTTTTGCAGTTTTCCCCATGAAGGCTGCACGTTATCAAAGTTCAGGTTATCCAAACTATATTTATATTCTTTGGGAGCCACTTGCCGAATCTCTCACGAGATCTTTGACATTAGAGTTTGCTATCTGTCTCTTGCAAAATAACCCTCATTATTCTTACTCCGTTAACCGCCACCGAATTCAGGACTTCCAGCTCCTCAGTTTCCCGTTCAGAGAGGAAAGATTACTCCCACCACCCAAGTGCAACAAGTGAGAACCGGGAGCTCGGGCTGACAAACGCTACTTCTAGACACCACCTACAAAGCGCGCCAAGACACTCTCAATGTACCTACTGAACCAAGATACTCAAATAGCCCCTTCTTACCTCAGTTTCACCATCCCCTCAACTGGCGGCCGCACCGGGGATACGGACGCCGCCATGTTACGGTTTCCAGAATCATCACGTGACGAGAGACCGTCGGACGTGACGCAATTTCTCTTCCCCTAAGGGTGTTCCTTATGATTCTGGCGAGGTCCTGAACAAGGCGAGGCGAATGGAGGACTGGAGGAGGAGACTGGACCATAGAGATAGATATGCTAGACTTGTAGGCATCAGGTTCCTTACAGACGCTTACGCTCTAAATTCAAAAGGAGAGTGAGAGGAGTTTTCACTTTTCAGAACTCAGAATAACAGCACGAGCCTTTAGATAAAGAATTACAACTGAAGAAAGGGCCAACCTTTACCATTTATTTGGAGACCTCGAATTGCCCATAGAAATCAAGGGAGAAACCCCAGGGGCCCACTGGCACAAGAATTTTGCCGATAGTATTTTTAAACATACGTACTTTCCCTCTCCTGCTTTGCTTTCGGGTCTGCCCGGCACCGGCTGGCTGCCAGAAAAAGAAAAGGATTTGTAGTCTCTACAAAGAAGGAAGGAACGGAGCGCATTGAAGAAAAAAAACATTTTGTACATTTCAATGTACAAAACTCCCTGCTTGGCTGTAAATTTCATGTACTTGTGCATTCAAATGTAGTGGCAGATCGGGATGATTTTTCCATCTGGAGCACTTGGCTTTCAGACTCCATCCAAAGCAGGCCACCTCCACTGCAGATGCCAGACAGGGCAAAATATACATAGCATACGCATTTAGCTCTAAGCATAGATCCTCTGAAAGCAGTTGAGTGGTTCATGCGTGAAGCTGCATAGGTTGTCCGCAGCAAAGCGGAACGAAGTATGACAATCTCCGCTCTGCAGTGATGTCAGGGCACAGGCCCTTCTTTCATGTGCCTGCTTTGTGACACCACTGTGGGGCATGACTTACAGAATTACATACCTGCACGTGATCAGGTGCTGCAAAAGCATACTTTCTATGTTGCTTGATAACAAAATCAGGCCAGCCAGCTTAGCCGGCTTTCTTTTTTATGCCAGGAATTGCCAGTTACAAGCTGAGAATAAACCAACTGCAGCCTTCTGTTCCTGGCCTGTTTGTTGCTGGCAAGGAATAACAAAAGTGCTATTTATGGACTGATTGCCCCTCTCCGCCCGGATTTTAAAAAAAATAATTCTGGGAATCAAGTTATGTCAGTTGATTTTGCTGGCTATACCATGTGTACCCAGGCACCATGATTACCCAGGGCTTGTAGAACAAAACCCATGGCTTTTAGAACAAAGATGCAAACATGCAAAGTTTCCTGTTTTTCAGGGTTTTTTTAATGTGGCTCTTTTTTTTTCTTTTGCATTATTTCATCCACAGTGCTCATTAGAGGTCACAGTTATTTTGTAAATACAGGCAGCAATGAGAAATGTGAAAGTGTATAAGTAAGCCTGAAGATCTTTGCTGGTGTATTAATTACAAAATCAGTAGGTAACAAACTATACAATGTTATAATGTTACCTAGTGGATAAATTACACAAGAAAGATTAGATTCCATTTCAGGGACTAGTCTTCACTGAATTATAATTTTCTTTATTTCACATTTGACACTATCTGCAACTTTCTAGTCACTTTCTTGACAGGCAAGGCATCCAAAATCTTTAGTTTTCTTTGTGTGAGTGAACAGTGATGGTAATACATTTATACTTTCTGCCCAAGGAAAGTTAATTTTTAGTGTAAAACTGTGGTGATTAACTCCCTCACAATTTGAAACAGGTAATTTGTCAAAGACAGCAGCTAGTTTAAATCTGCCTGTAGCTGTTGATTAACTTATATGACAGTAAATTTTTTACAGTCCTGGGTCTTCCAACTTTAAAGCTATTTGAAGGGATGTAGAAAGATTTTTGATTAATTACCCATATTTGTACCAAGAATAGATTCATACATTATATTCAGTCATGGTTTTACTATGATTTATTGAATAAACCACAATTGCACAGTTTCACATGACATGCTAAGTAATAAATCATAAGTTTTAAATCAGTAATGGCTTTGCACAATACCCTACCCCCAAAACAAAATTTGTATGCTTTCATATGGTAAGAAAATCCATCATAGTGTATTTTAAAATATTAAAGTTTAATAGTATATTTCATTTCGCAATGGACTTAGGTATTATTACAGAACAGTTATATCATTTAGCAACCAGTGCTAACTGGATACGAGACAACCAGTGAAATGTAAGCAGGTGGGTGGAATGAGTTTTGTATTTGGGATTTTTATTCTGTAAGCCTCCCAGAGTCACCGTGAGTGAGTTGGGTGGCCGTATAAATTGCTTAAATAAATAAATAAACAGAAGATTGATTATATAATCCATTTTGATGAACGTTGGAGTATACATTGATTGATTTAAAAAAACACCTTTTTTAGCAGCTTTTCAGAATAAAGTTTTCCTTCAATTGTAAGTACAAAGCCCAGAAACTCAGGGTTCATCTAATCCTAAGATTAGCACTAGCTTCAACATGTTTACTTTGTCTGGTGGCTAGAAAATTAGAACAAAAACCAGTGCCTTTGAAATATGAAAGTCAGGACATAGTTTATATTTTGCGATTACTACTTCAGTCTGGTGAAACTCACCACATACAGTATATTATAGAATACTGGTAATAATTGAGGGTCTTGTTCTTAATCTACAAAACTCTTATTTCATACATGTGATTCATCATTTGATGCTGGAGGCTTGTTTTAACTTACAAACCAAACAAACTACAGCTTTTTTACTGTGATGTAAAGGGGAAGTTATTAAATATGCAGACAATAATCTTATTAGCTGTGTGTACTTAAGGTAATCTGATTTTAATTTAAATCTATTTTTTGTACTAGTTCCACTGACTTCTAAAATATAGCTCCTGATATACTCTCAAAGGTAAAGTATGTCTGAGCTGCAGCAAAGGTTGTGCAACCTTGTTCTATACCACTGATCTATTAAATTTTGTGACATAAATTAAATGGTTTCTCATAACAATATTATGGTTTTTCAGCAGACATGAAACTCAGTGCTGAAGAGTGCCAACAATTGAAATTCTTTCTAAGTAATAAATATTTTTGAAGGTAGGGTGACTATTGGAAGGTGGGGGGAATAACATAATAGAAGTTAGAAGTATCTGATTTTCTAGAAAAGTTGTTGCTTTTTTGCTGTTTAATGTACTTTGGAAAGCTATTTTTTCATTTGATACATAAGTCATTATCCTTCACAATGTATGTCCCAGTGTGTCAGTAGAGCACCATTTCACTAAAACAGAAAAGTTGGTTTTCAATTAAGTGGCAAAAAGAGTATGCATATGGGTGTGTTTGTGAGAAAAAAAGGGAAAAATACTATCTTGCCACTGAAGAGACAAAGTGTTCAACCTGTAAAAATTACATGAAGTATTCCAAGAAATGAAAATTAAATATTTCTTACTCTCTTTGCTAAGATCTCAAGAGATAAAAGATGTACCTGGAAGAGGACATTGCTTCCTATAACTGTTTTTCCTAAAATAAGTGGGGGGTTAATTATTAAGCTTTAAGCTTGATTGCGCCCTATTTCTGCTGCAGCTGCTTTAATCTTGAGTCACAGAAAGTTTAAGACTGCATTACAGTGGCTGCTTTTTCTCTTGTTGCCTGACGTTTTCCCAGCTGAAGGATGCTAGCACAAAGATGGTTAGGAGAACTGTTGCTAGGGGGGTTGCTACTTGCATCTGCCTGGGTTACCACCATTGCATATCCTGAGCTTTGCCAACCAGGTAAGATTTGCTTCTATGCTTCATCCTTCAACTACAACTTGATTTAAAAACTTAGCATTTAGAAAATTCAAACTGAAAATGGGTGCATGTTATGTTTTTGAGTAATGTGCACAAGTTTTGGATATAAAAATAATTTGATTAGTTCTTTAGAATGAGTATTAATGTTTTAGGATAGAAAGTCTATTGGAATCCTGTTGGGGCATCCTGTTAAATTAATATGGCCCCTTTGTTGCTAATAGTTCAATATAGGCTAAAAGAGTTTTATGAACATTTTAGAACTGAAATAACTGTAAGTGGCCTGTGATTGTCCCATGGTTAATATCCCGCACTTAAACTTACAGACTTTCATCTTTTGTATTTATATCCTAAGCAAACTTACTTGGAACCTAAAAATTTTAAGTAAAGTATATTCAAAATAATTGTACTTAGGGTATTCTGAAATAAATTGAAATATAACAAAAATATGATGCAATGTACTGAAAAATAACAAATCATTTACATAATCAAATGTGAGTTATGTGCTTCATTTTATTTCTTTTCCTTGCAATAGATGCACAGAATGCTTTCAAAGTACGGCTTAGTATCAAAACAGCTCTAAAAGAAAATGCAGTAAGTTAAATATTTACAACTACTTTTTGAGTGAGAAGCTTCATAAAATACCAGCTAGTAAGACAGCTCACTCCTGAGACAACAACAACCAAAAAAAGTCTGACCTAAAAATACCTAAATTTTCTAAGTATTCCTTTAAATTATGGGTAGCATTGCTAACATGGATGCCATGCTTATATCCTTTAAAACAGTAAGTTTTCTGACTGCCATCCTTTCACTTTCCTAAATAATATGCATTCTTATTATGAATAAGATAATAATTGACAAAGCTGTCAATTTCCTAATCTTTACTTAACTCAATTGTTGTTGTTCCTGTTGTTACTTAAATGGAGAGGAATTACTGTACCAAATAGTGGCAAATAGTGATTGAATTAATAGTACTAAATGTCTGATCATACACATTTCTATTGAAGTGAATGAATTTTGGGTCAGCTCTAGAGAGTTACAATCTTAGTGCTCTGTTCAAAGCTGCTTCTGTCTGATGCAAAATATTTAATGGTCTCTTCCTGATCCTATGAAGAATGGGTAAAACTAAATCACCTTGCAGACAGGATATTGGACCAAAAAGAAGCAAAAACAAGCTATGGCCTGTCTAGCACCTCCAGCTTCTCCCATAGTAGAGCTGATATGCCTTCTGTTCACATTCTAACCACAGCAGAAATTACATTGTACTCTGTCAAGTCCTGCAGAGTAGTTATTCGATTTTCAGAGACTACAGTCACTAAAGTACTTTTTATATGTAAAGAACTCCAGTGTAGCTCCTGACCTGGTTATTTCATTTAGTCTCAGCACACGTACATGCAACCAAACAATGACATGAATATCTAAAGCTGCATCCTTGAAGCAGTCACATAAATATAAGTAAAAATGAAATAAGAGCCAAAATAAGACAGGCAGCCATTTTACTGCACCATCTGTCCATACTTTGTTGCTTTAATAGACTTAATTTCTTTCCTCTGTATCAGAAAAATTGCATTTGATACATTTCCCATTTCTACGGGAAAAGATAGGATAAGGCAAATACAGCTAGGTAGACTGGTTGAAAATGTATACAGTAGTATCAGAAATATAGGAAAAGAAAATCCTGACGTACCACTTCCAAATTGCAGAATTTAAATCTCTACCAAAAATAGTTTTGCCAATCCAGTTTGACTATCTTTGCATTCTGTAACCTTACTGCAAAATTGTTCTTTGGCTCGATGTGGAGCAGTGGATGCATTTCTCTTGGTGAATTGCTCCTCTCCAACTCATAGCAATTGTTACTGGAAAGGAGCAGCAGCTCAGAGAGGTGATGGTGGCCTCCAGGGCATTGCACAATGGATAGGGCAAAGTCACATCTATGTAGTGATCTTGGCAACAATATGAAAATAGCATGCCATTGTCTTCTTCCAGGATAAAATTACTTTCCTTTCTGGGACAAAGTAATTGAAACAGAAGGGCTGGCACAATGCCATCCTCCCTCATGACTGGAGGGAAAGAGGGGTGATATGCCTGGAAGAAGAAGTTAGAGAAGGATAAAACTGGCAAGGCCGAAGGATAAAACTGGCAAGGCAGAAGCTGTGATTCCCAGCTAAGAGAGAACCATATTGCAAAAGATGTCCCCACTGCTCAAGGGTGGGAAAAGAATGGCCAAAAGTCTGTTGCTTCAAAAGCAGGAAGAAATAGCCTAGGATTTTAAAGCCTGGGACTGATTTTGGTATTGATTTTGGTATTATTATAAGGCTTGATTTTGGTATTATACAGTATGCAATGTGTGTTTGTGTATGTATGTTTTTCTCGACCATAAAGAAACACCTATCTGTATCAAATGTCTGAAGTTTTGCTGTTCACTAGCCACAAAATACATATGTGGTAGACCTGGACAGAACTCTGACATATGTCGAAAACCATGCCTTTTTGATCTTAGTTACTCTCAAGTTTGTTACAGCCATCATTTGAAATCCCAATTAAATGCAATACTCCAGGTGATACCTAAAAATTCAGTCAAACATATACATAAAACAAAGCCCAGCCAAAGAACTGCACAACCCAATAGTCATCCAATAGTCAGAAAGAGTTTTTCCCCCTAGCGTCCAGATGCCCACAACAAAATAGGTCCCAGGTAAATAGTTCTGCAGGGGCAGTTTTCACAAAAGCTCTCTCTCTGAAAAGATTTGGGAACTGTGAGCTGACACCTGTACTTAGCTTGGGCGATCTGCAAATGATATTCCTCCTTCAAAACTCTTCGTTGCACTCAACAGAATTGATGATTTTTAATATATTTTAAATTTTAATTGTACTAATTTTACAGTTGTGGTTTATATTTTGTACTTTGCTTTATTGTTGTATGCTGCCTGAGAGCTTATTTAAGCAGAAAGGCAGGTTATAAATTTAATAATAAAGAAAGAAAAACACTAAAGAAATACAGTGCTAAGCTATTGAATAAGCTAAAACATTGCCACCCAGCGAGTAACCCCCCCCATTGATCTATCTCATTTGTGAGATATCATGCCATCCCTGTTCTAGCACCCCATGATTCTTCCCTGCTCAGAACATAATACTAAAGAAGTGACCTCTGGACACAAAAGGTTGTCCCTGCCTCCCATTCCAGACCATTTATGGTAGCCTTCTCCATCCTGGTGCCTTCCAAATATGCTGGACTTTTAACTCTCATAACACCTAGCCAAGAAGATCAAAGGCCATGCTATCAGGACATTATGGAATTGAAGTCCAAGCTATCTAAAATAAACCAGATCAGGTTTAAATGTTCATCAGTCAAAACATTTGCTATGGAATTGAAGTCCAAGCTATCTAAAATAAACTGAATCAGGTTTAAATGTTCATCGGTCAAAACATTTGCTATGAAATTGTATCTGTAGAGAAACCAGCAGCTTTTAATGCAAACTCTGTTTAGGCAGCCCAAGGATTAACATACTACAACAGTTAAGTCTGCAAAAATAAGCTATTATTAATTAGAGATAATCTCAATGGCACTGGACAGTTTGCAGAAATAGAATAACATGATAAAATTCATAAAAGATATAACCTTTAGAAATACCTGGATGAAATATATATGCCTCTAAACTGTAATACTATTTCCATAATTGTCAACAAGCATTTATTCTTTTCCCTAGAGGCTATATGGGAGGAAAATGTATTTTTCTAGCTTTCCATGTATAATAATCAGTTGATTATATTTTTTTTAAGTATAGCTGGGATGCTACTGAAGAATATCTATTTAAAGCAATGTTAGCTTTTGCTGTAAGAAGATATTTGAATCAAGAAACAACCCAGTAAGTATACACATTTTCTTGTAAATATTCTTATTAAGATAGATGTGCATCTCACTGTGGATTGGGAATAACTTGCATACCTGAATGATTTCTTTTACAGCCAGTCTATTTTTAGTGTATGATAAAAATAATATTTTCTGCTAGCCCCATTTAGAGGTGATTTTTCCCCTTGCATGTGAGAGCAATCAGGTGATCATTTGGAGTCATATTTAGCTGCTTTCTGTTATGGCTTCATCTTGCAGTACTTGCATACCCCTAAATGTCAGTTGCTGTCCTGGAGTGGAGAATTTTTTCCAACTTACTCAGAAATAAAGCTGAGATCTTTCCTACTGCAACAATGGCAATGCTAGTACTTAACTACAGATCTTCCCTTAAGAAACCTGTCATATTAAGTAAGAAGTCAGAATTCTTCTCTATTCTGCATTAGTCAGGCCACATCTAGCATATTGTGTCTATATTTGAGAAAGACATCGACAGTTTGGGCCGTGTGTCCACTGGACAGCCCCCAAGATGATCAGGAGCCGGGGGGGGGGGAACTTAAGAGGAATACTTTGGAAGTTCTGAGTACGTTTAGCCTGAAAAAGACTAGGAGACATGATGACTCTCTTCAAATATTAAAGGGCTATCATATAGAAAATGGGCAGATTTGTTCAGAGTTGTTTCAGGGCAAGAAACCCTGAGTGTAAATGGCAAGGAAGAAATTTTCTGTCAGATATCAGAGAACATTGTTAACAGTAACAGCTGTGAAACATTGGAACAGACTGCCTTGGGAGGTGATAGCCTCTCCATCACTGGAAGAGTTTAAAGAGAAGCTGGATGGCCCACTGTCAGAGATGCTCTAATAACAGATTGTGCACTGGGCAGGGTGTTGGCCTGGATTATCTCCAAGTTCCCTTCCAATCCTTACATTCTTTGATTCTGAGAAGATGATTTCTCCATGTAGGTCAGAATTATCTACTTTGACTGGCAGGAGCTCTTCTGAATTCCAAGTAAAACTTTTCTAGGATGTGTTACAGAACAGAGATATGTAAAATGTTCTGTTCTGTGGATAGGATGTTAAAAAATACTATTCTTCCTTCAGATCACATCTGGCTGTCCTGGGAGCAGTCTGATAGTTTTGTGGAATAAATCTTCTAGAACTAAGAAGTGGTTTGTGATATCCCATTCAATTAGGAACTGAACCACAATATTTATTTTCAGGAAGTGGCTGAACCACTCATGCGTGTGGTTGAGAGGAACTTTCCAATGTTCCCTGGAATAGTCTATACTTGAAACAGAACTCTCTCACATAGAGATACCCATTTCAGATCCCTTTAACTTAAATATCAGAATACCTGAAACTGTGACTTTCTTTGTGTTAAGACTGGGAAAAGATTTACTGTCACCAACCAATAGCAGATTGCTAATTTATTTCTCTTCTCCATAACCAAAAGAAATTAAACTTTAGCTAAAAAGAAGAAAAACTTAATTATTTATACTGAATACTAATTTGTTTTTCTTCTCCCACTTTAGGAATAATCTGTTACTATAAAATAGGCTGAGGTACTAGATATTTGTCAGTGGTTAACTTTGCTTCTTTCTGGTTCTTATAACCAGGGCTGACTGTAACTAGTAATAAGGGCCTTTCTTTACCTTTAAGGAAGGTGATATATGTATCAACTGTGAATATTAAGCAGCTGTCATCCTCTACATGGTAATGAGAATCATGAACGTTCATACTTTTCTCAGTTACAAAGATCAATTAAGGGCCAAAGAAGATGTTATGCTAATTATGTAATTAGTAACTACCTAATATAATACTAAATGCAAGTCTACTCAAAGGTTTCAGTGTATACATTTATTTGATCTTCCATTGCATGAGAAACCTTCCTAGTGCAACAGTTCTCACCATTAGGCAGAGTGAGGTAATAGCTTCAGGCATTGATTTAATAAATTGTTAATAAATTGAAGATTATCATGATCATTGTCATAAATCAACAACATTTATTCTCAGGGACTTATGGGCTTTTCATTCTCACATACTAAAACAACTTAGCCAGTTTGGGTACTCTGTGCTAAGTGGATTAATATTTCATTTCCTGTTTTGTGTTAGGTAGCAAAATTCTTTACACCCTCCCTGCTTATTAACTATATTTTTCCAGGGATGGGCTGGTGGAAAGATCAAAGGCCTTCAGACATCCATGGTGTCTGACCTGCTCCAAATGCAGCAGAAAAGGCTCTTTTACCAGCCCTGCTGCTGAAGGTTGATTTGGATGTTAGGAAACAGCATTAGATAACCATTCTGCTATTTCTTTGGGTAAGGGTTTCCACTTCGTACCTCAAACTTAGCAGAAATGGATTTTGGTCATTATCAGATATGTCCACCTATTTTCATGTTCATTGCAGTGGAATTATCCTTGCTGTAGTAGTGTGAAAATAGAGGGGAAATGTGTATTAGCATTAAAAGATATTGTATTGCTAGAAATAATTTTACTGACAGCAGATCCCAGAGCTAGAATCACAAACTCTCTGCTCATTACAAAGAACCACCTGAAGATTTGCTGTGCAGGACAATATACTCCGTTTTTAAAGCTGGTAATCTTGTTTTGCGGCTCGCTCAGCTAGAAAGTCTTACAGTATAAAGAGCAGAGAGTGATAAATTTTCTTCAAGATTATAAAAAGCAGGTTGTTAAGTCTTTACTAAAAATTATTTATGGGAGCCTTGGCTTTATTTCTATAACAGAAGTTCCTAGGTAGACTCATTTGAGCCTTATATAAGTCTACAGGCACTTGGGTGGTCAGACTGGCTATGGATGAGCCATTGTAGATATCTGAAGGATGTTCTCTATTTCTGTGTTGGCACAATGTAGGCCAGTGAACGGATATTTTAGAAAAAGAGATTTTATCTATGCATTAACACAAACTGCCTAATGGTAACTTCTGTTTGCCTCAGAAAGTAGTGGTATATTATTTAAGCAGAGGGTAGGGTAGGCAATCATCTGCCAGTATTATGGTAGTTGTAAGTACCTGGAGTTCACCAAGGGTTGGACTAACTGACAGACAAAATATTTTTCAATTTTAATTTTTTTGTATGGGTAGTAGAATAATTACAGTTTCCACCCTATATCTCTGCATCATTGTTTGATTTGATTCTGCTTCTCCTGCTATCTCTCTCTCT